CCCCAAAACCCCAAAACCCCAAAACCCCACCTTTGAATACTCGAATTAAATATTAAATGATGATTATTATTTATTATTAGATATATATAGTTAATCAAGTAGCAGATAAATTTAGATGAGACTCTGCCTGCTCTGGAATATTATGTGAGTTAATTGTTCACTTCATTTCTTTAAGCTCAATAATGCCTAACATCCTCTTCTATATCATCATCAGTAGAGTCACTTCCTTCTCTGTTGCTGCCAAATATACTTCTTCTGCCAGTTCCTCTGTTATTTGCTCTATTTCTATTGTTTCTATTACTTTTCTCTTTGTATGCTATTTTCATTTGTTACATAATATCATTTGGTTCTATATTCTCCAGTTCGGGTTTTTCTATTTGCTCTCTGCTATCATTTAGTGAAGAAATCATATCTTCATCGTCATCATCCTCATCGATATTGTATCTTGTTGGATTTAAAATTACAACGACTTCATTAGAACCAATAGAATCGCACCTATCATCATGATCAATGTAATTTTCACTAAATAGCTCTGGACTAATGTGTGTTTCAAGCATTGGTGCGAAGTTCTATCTTACTTAACCTTCCTATCCATTAAGTAGTGGTACCTTTATAATAAATTTAATTAAAAGTAAACATACGTTGATTTCATTCATTCCAATTCTGAAGAATGAAGGCCATACTCTAGATCTGAAGATAAATAGAGATCCAGCTAAGAAAAGCAAATCAAAACACTAAACAGAAAGACTAAATCTCTCAGACAATGTTTCATCATTAAGGAAGGATATAATTCCATACTTTATCACCTTTAAAATGAAATATCCTAGAATACAAACTGCGAATTTCCTAAAAGAAGCGTTAATGTTAATACAATATTATTAGTTAAATTCTTACTTTAACATTGATTCCTTTAGTTTAAGAGCAGGGATCATTATATCATTAGGATTGTCTCGAGAGCTTGAAGATGCGTAGGTTTGAATCATTTTTACTGTCAATCTTAAGTTTTTCAAGTTGGTTAATCCTAGTGCTAGATATAACAATGCCATTAAAGCCTATTTTAATTAAAAGTTATACAGTCTTTAATATTACTCTCATAAAATAGCTGATTCCAACGAAATCTGCTGATAAGAAGTAGGCACTATAGGTCAAGTAAACTGCACCCATGATCATTGTAAGATATGTGGCTTGGTTTCTTGTCAGTTAAAAAGCAGTAGTATTCCATCCTTTGCTTATTAAGAATAAGATTGCAAGTAAAATGGTATAAGTAATCGTCACAATAGAGATTCTTGCCATATCCAAGTACTTTTCTGAAGGTTCAGTTGTGCTTATCCACGGGCAAGCATTTAGGAATAGACCCTGGATCAAGCATTCAAGAATTTTGCAGACTGGTATTATAGTCATAGTCTTTTGCATATAAAGCGAATGTAATTTTCTATAAATAAATGTGTAGTACCACCAACTGACCAAAATGATAAACCAAACTCCAGTCAAAGCCATGTAAGTTGGCCAGATCGGATTCAACAAGAAACATCTATTGATATATACATGGTCTATACTGATCTGAAAATTGGTTCCATCATTTGCAGCAGAAGTATATTAAGAGTTATAGCTGTATTTCTTTAATTTATCTCCACTTGATTGAGAGATCAGTGAGATAATTTCTGGCTAAGTATACGTTTGATTTGAAGAAATAAAATCATTTGTGATAAAGATTAATCCTTCTATGTTTGAAGGGCCTCTAGATGCATCCTAAATTACTTCATTTGAGCTTCCTTGTGAAAAAGGATTAAGGATAATCTATCAAATAATGATTAAATTTTAAATCAAAGTTTACCCAATTTTCTTTAGGAAGGATTTATAAACAATGATCAGTGAAATTCTACCATTAGTTTACGTAGCACATCTTGCCATTAATTGTCAAATTTGATTGATACTATGTCAATGATTATTAAAATTTATTCTTTACTAGATCAATATAGGGAAATGATGTCATCGTGAATGTGTCTATAACTGCAGCATCATTATCAGTTATAGTTAGCTTATCGTATATTTCTCGTAGCTTCTAGCCATTTGTAGAATGTGAGAGAATCAATAAACTTGCTCCAATAGTCAAGCTTGTTTTGATAAAATTTGCCATGATTTACAAAATATTTTATGATAATGATAATAATCAAATATTGTGCTATCCATACATAAGGGGTTTTGGGGTTTTGGGGTTTTGGGG